AATCAGCCAACATTCTGAGGGGAAAAGCCTCAGGGAAAACCCCAGCTCACTTTAGGGCATTTATCTTCAGCCTTCAATCTGGTTATTTTGGTGGTTCTCTAATGCCTTCGGGCCATTTTCTTTTTGTTTACTTGCATGATTACTTCTTTTTGGTATTTCATCCAAAATTTTGTAAAGCTGTCTCAGAGGGAGAGTTAGTCTGATACCATCTACTGGGCCATAGCTCACAGTGTGCAGCATAGTCAGTATCTCTCATCCTGGCACTCGAAAACCTACACAGTCTGACCCACACCAACTTTCCCAGCCTTGCCTTTCGCAGCTGTTTTTGCTCACCCTAGATTTTCCTCACTTCCTTTTCTTTCTCCTCTCACAATACTCTCCATTCCAACCAAATCCATTCTTCAGGCCAGTACAGTTTGTACTTTTGATTCCTGGCACCACAACCCACAAGATTCTTCCTCTCCTGTGGCTTCATAGCAATAGCTGCTGGCCTCTGTAGCGTTTCTTTTTTTTTATTTATTTAAATTTATTTTTGTTTATTTCTGGGGGGAGTAATTAGGTTTATTTATTTATTATTTTTAGAGGAGGTACTGGGGATTGAACCCAGAACCTTGCGCATGTTAAGCATGTGCTCTGCCACTTAATCTATATATGCCCTCCCCCCGTAGCAGTTCTTGATTTGTGACATGATGAAAAAAATACTCTGCATTTACTCTTTTCCAGTGAGGTAAGGGCAGGGACTTTTCTTATGTCCCTTTGTACCCAGTTTGACCTACATATCTTGCAGGTTAAAGCATCTGCTGCCAATGTAGAGTCTGACCAAACATTGGAGATTAGTGAGCAAGAAATTTTGGAGAGAAAACAGGAAAATGTGAAAGCCATTCTACAGGCATATCGTTTTACAGGTATAATTGTTTTGATCTGTTTCAGTCTGGGCCTCTTGTTTCTAGTGAGTTAGTTTGCAAATGTGTTATTAGTCCTGGACTTATTTCATGAACATTAATTTTTGCTTCTCCTAACATACGCACGCAAAGCTGGCATGCTATTCATGGGCAACTTTACCTACACAGTTGGCCTCTCTGTGCAGCAGGAGATTGGTTGCTGGCTGGCTTAGACTATTCATTTTAGCAATTCAACATGTACTAGACCCTGTACCAGAACCTGTCTTACTGCTGGCTTTTTCTATGCCACTGGTCAAATAGTTTGAACCCCTCAAGTCTCTGTTTCACCATTAAAATGGAGATTTATTCTCCCTACCATCTGTATCATAAGAGGATTGTGGGGACAACTGGGGACTACCATAAATTACTTGACACTCAGGGAGAAAAAGCATAGGTAAATTGAAAATTTCAAAATCTCTTCCTCAATAATTTGATGTTTAGGGTGTGTTTTCTTTCCCACCATTCTTCTGTGGTTTTAACACTCAAACTCAAAGTGAGCCAGTGAGTCATTCATTCAACAATCATCTGAGTACATAATGTATGTAGTGGGCAGTACTGAGGGGACTGGGGTGCACAGATGAATAAGATACTGCCTTTGCCTGACATCTCTTAAGAGGTATCCTCTTGTTTCTCTCAGGGATCAGTGGGAAACTGACCAGCCGAGGAGTCTGTGTTTGTATCAGCACTGCTTTTGAGGGGAATCTCCTGGATTCCTATTTTGTGGACCTTGTCATACAGAAACCACTTCGGATACATCACCATTCGATTCCAGTCTTCATTCCTCTAGAGGAGATAGCTGCAAAATACTTACAGACTAATATTCAGCACTTCCTGTTTATTCTTTGTGAATACCTAAATGCTTACTCTGGGAGGAAGTACCAGGCAGATCGACTTCAGGTATCTGAGATCTTAAAGCATTTTGTGAGCCCGCATAGGCTTAAAAGGAAAAAAAGGGACAAGTTTTCTTTTGTACTTTAAAATGTTTAACTCTGAGCCAGAAATTTGACCATTATCCTTCTAATGCTTGTTTCTTATTTGCATACAAATGATTTTCCACCTTCTGTTCTGCTGAAACTCTGGATGATGTTGAAGCATGGATACTGGTTAAGGGGTTTTCACTCATGAGTGGTGGTCCTCAGGTTTTTATACTTGACCCTTCCTTCCTCTCACAAAGTGGTAGAGTACAGTTGCTGTACTTCCAATTCAGGAGAGATTTATAGAATCCTCACTGTGTGCCAAGTGTCTTGTTGAACCTTGGGTACAGATTCAAAGCAGAATAATGGTTTCTGAAATACCATAAGAGGAGCACTGTCCATCTTTGCCTAAGCGCTAGCTAGCTTTCTTAGGATTGCAGTTGAACTAGGGGCTAGGGTTGAGGGTTAGAAAAAAAAACTGACAAGAAATGAATGCAAATAGGGAATGAGTGACTCTTAAAAGCTTATTAGCATTTCCTTCTTTATGCTTTTGGATAACTCTGAAGCTCCTGGTTGTCAGTTTGATAAACTTAAATTGAAATGTGAATGTAGGCATGAGGCATCTTAACCACATGTATGATGTCAGTGAAATTCTTGGCAGAAATAGTATCTCACCTGCAGCCCCAACCCCTGGCCATTTACTTAGTGCTTCCTGCACGCCTTCTAGGCTGCCACCAACTCTTAGTTATCTAATCTGTATCAGTTGTTCTTTTTTCAGGTCTTTGCCTGTCCTTCATTTATTTCTCTGAGATTTAATTAACGTGCCCTATTTTTGGTAGACATGTCTGAAGCGTCACCACCACTCCTTTGGAGCTGTAACTGTCGTATACTTTGTGTCTCTGTTGATTCCCACCATTAGAGTGACTTTGCAGCCTATCTGGCTGGGCCCTTGCAGAGAAACTCACTGTGCAACTTGCTGTCATTTACTTACAAAGTGGAGCCGAAGGACCAGTCCTTCCCATTTTGTGCCAGGCTGCTGTACAAGGACCTCACAACAGCCCTTCCAACTGATGTCACCGTTACTTATCGAGGTAAGGGGAAGGCTGCTTCCAGGAGGAAATGACAGCAGGCCCCGAGTTATTCAGGCTGATGGAGACAGGGTGAAGCAGTGAGACTGCATCAGCTGAAACTCTTGAGAAACTTTCTTCTATTGATGTACCATAAACGGAAACATACAAGGACAGGAAAATACCAAGAATATTTTCTTTGTTTCTCCTCTCCTCCTTGTAAGTAGTGAATATAACTCTCCTAGTTTTCCTTCCTGTTTTGCTGTGTCTGAGCCTGCCAGTGTTCTTTCAGCTTATGGTTTGTTTTCATCAGAGGGAGACCCCTGAGAGAGGGAC